AGTCATAACCACTATGTAATTCAGTGTATGAAATTATGACAGTACTTTAATATTATAGTCATAACCATGTAATTCAGTGTATGAAATTATGACAGTACTTTGATATTACAGTCATAACCACTATGTAATTCAGTGTATGAAATTATGACAGTACTTTGATATTACAGTCATAACCACTATGTAATTCAGTGTATGTAATTATGACAGTACTTTGATATTAGTCATAACCACTATGTAATTCAGTGTATGAAATTATGACAGTACTTTGATATTACAGTCATAACCACTATGTAATTCAGTGTACGTAACTATGACAGAACTTTGATATTACATTCATAACCACTATGTAATTCAGTGTATGTAATTATGACAGTACTTTGATATTAGTCATAACCACTATGTAATTCAGTGTATGTAACTATGACAGTACTTTGATATTACAGTCATAACCACTATGTAATTCAGTGTATGTAACTATGACAGTACTTTGATATTACAGTCATAACCACTATGTAATTCAGTGTATGTAACTATGACAGTACTTTGATATTACAGTAATAACCACTATGTAATTCAGTGTATGTAACTATGACAGTACTTTAATACTATAGTCACAACCACTATGTAATTCAGTGTATGTAACTATGACAGTACTTTGATATTGTAGTCATAACCACTATGTAATTCAGTGTATGTAACTATGACAGTACTTTGATATTATAGTCATAACCACTATGTAATTCAGTGTATGTAACTATGACAGTACTTTGATATTGTAGTCATAACCACTATGTAATTCAGTGTATGTAACTATGACAGTACTTTGATATTACAGTCATAACCACTATGTAATTCAGTGTATGTAACTATGACAGTACTTTGATGTTATAGTCATAACCACAATGCTGTTTCTTAAAATTTGCATCTTTGACTCAATCATTTCAATTACTCTATCTCACATTTTGAAATAATTTATCTTTCATTCAGTTGCTACAACTGTTTTCATCAAAGAGTGTCTCGGTATACTTGTAAATGAATAGTAATATAAGACACAGGTTTCACCCAAGAAACTACAGATATATGTACCACAAGTTTTTTTATTACTTGTTTCCTATATTGGTATCCACATACCTGTTTTACACCACTCAACTTGAAAACACTGAACTCCTTTCACAGTTTTTCTTTTCAATATTCTAGTAGTGGGGGAAAAGGTGTGTTAATTAGCTGATAATTTATTCAGTTAAAGTAATTATAAGAGTAAAGTTTTATATTATACAGCACATAGTAAGTCATACTTTAATAGTCATTAGATTTTTTCATCTTTATACATTTAGGAAACACACACATATATATATATACATATACATATGTATGCTTGATACCATATATGTGTAGTATATATATATATATATATATATATATATAT